TTTTTTTCCTTATGCATAAGGATTCAGAGGGTCAGAATGATCTCATGTGCTTATTTCCCATCAGCCTATTTCCCTGCCTCCCATTTTCAGTAGATCACAAGAGATTGCCACTTGTGAGGCTTCCTCTCTGTCACTGTGCAATATGACTAACAGCTGGATGAACTCTTCACTTGCTTTCTGGTGGCTCAGCTCAGAACTCTTGTTGTTACCAGCCAGCATCCCTTGGGACTGTTGGAGCTTCTCCCTTGAAGAGTTATAGAGGAAAATATTACATCCTAAAAAATGTGGGCATTTGTAGCTGTTTGATCTTTGAGAACTTAGGTGTTCTCTTGGAGACTCAACTGATAGTCTTTTCTAATGAGTCGCTTAGGCACTAGCAGTCAGTTAAGCTATAGGTCTCACAGGTAGAAGTCACAGAAACTAGTGGTCCTACAGGAATACCACGCAGGGACACAGGTGTTCAAGCCAAGTAATTCTGCATCCTGGTTCAAATTACAACTTTGAACATTCTTTGGAAAGAAACTCCCCATTCTTTTGCCTTTTAGCTAATACCAGTTTTGAAGCTCTAGTTTCTCCACCTTGCTTGTCTTCAGCACTATTCAAGCGGAGTATTATGGAGTAAGCAAGTATCATATGCTTTTGAATAATGGGGAATGAAAGACGGTGGTGTCAGGGATATATTGCTTACCAGAGGCTGAATGTTCAGTTGGTGAAATGAACAGAACCAATAAAACCTCAAGTTCTCCATGTTTTCATTAGAATTCTCCTTTGTGGGAGGATATGCAAGATGATTACAGGGTGGTTTTTTAGCCAACAGGGTGGAATTGCAGGATTCTCTGCAACATTTTTCTCCCCTCTGTGAGATTACAGATGCATGGTGCACAATCAAAATTCCTAAAATTACTGTGAACCTGATGTATTTGTCTGTTTCTTTTTAAGCATCTGTTAAAAATCTTTGGTATGAAAACACTAGGGTAAAACAGCTCTGACTTTTTTTTTTTTTTTTTTGTAACATTGTTGAAGTAGTGGTGCCTGGATAGTAACTTGGCCAGGTCTCCAGGTTTGGAAGATTGCTAGGTGGGGCATGAGAAGAAGAGATGAAAGGAACAAATCTAGGAATGTGCCTGTGGCACAAAAGATAAATGCATGTAGTAGAAATGATTAGTCAGAAGTAGTCTGGGAAGAAGAATTGCTTCTATATACTAGTTGAAACAAGTGATACAAACTGCGATACCAGCACACGCTTTATCCTCTCACATCCTCAGTTTTCTGTCCTCCTTTCAGTGTGCAGGACCTTTCTGCTGCAGGAAGTTGCTGGTGCCACAGGTCTGATGGAGTCACAGGGAGACTTCCTTAGCTGTACCCACCCCTGGGGATTACATGTAGATCTGTTTTTTTTCCATTGAGTCTGTACAATTGGTTTCAGTCCCTATCACATCCATTTGCCACCAGTCAGGCACATGCAGGTTGCACCAGTTTTCCCTATCTTAAATTGAGTGCTTGGAGTTGTGGTATGCATTTGAACCTCTTCTCTGTGTTCTCATGCAAGAGACATTAAGTATATTGTATACTTTGCTTATTCCAGATACTGGATGCCCTTTGTTTGCTGCCAGGCTCTCTACTAAACGTGTGTTAGGGAAGAGCATTTACATTTGAGACATTACTTCAACTTTTTCAGTATAGCAAGAAGCAATGTAATAAAGAAGAAAGGAATCTAGATTTAGGTCTCCTGTGATGGACATAGTGCTGACTGCAGCGCTAATGGACACATGATAAAATGCAGACAAGTAGTACGTTATTTTCAGCCAGATTTATCATACCACCTACAAAGGCAGCAAGGACCAGTCTCAGATATGTGTAATGAGAAGGTGTTAATAAAAAAAGGATGCTCACCTATATCTGAAAAATCAAGGCACACAGGAGGGATTTCTAGCAAGAGATCCTTCATCACTGGCATTCTATCTTTACAGTGAGGTCCTAAGGGGTGGAGCCAGGTTCCACCCTCCTTGGTCACATAGGTGAATTTCCTTCACCTGTGCTTCCAAGGTCTTTTCTCTGGGTGTTCAGTCAGTAGTTCAGGCCATGACTAAGCAGTTCCCATATTACACCACCATATTGCAGCCTGTTCTGACTTTGTCATGTTTAGCACCTGTATCCTGATGTCTGTTTCTGCAGGTTTTGTTTTGTTGTTTGTTTGTTTGTTTGTTGCTACTGTCTGTTCCAACTAGATGGCTTCGTGGATTATATTTTTTTAAAAGCTCTGAGAGAACTCCAGCACTTTGGTGTTATGGAAATCTGATAACTGCTGTGTTGCTTAATCAGATTTTTTGATAAAGGTAGCAATTTTGATGTAATATTGAGTTAAGAGGTCGAGCTGTTTCATAGAATTGGTTTGTCCGTCTTCTAACTGCAGTGCCACCAAAGGCAGTTTGACCTCAAGAATTTTTGGAAAACAAACAAAAACAACTTACTTTCTAGTTACTGTAGTAAAGTAAAATAGTGCCAACCATGAAAAGCCCCTTCCCTAAACACATCCAAATAATGACAGGATCTAGCCTGTAGTTTGTACCTCTGGGATTGGGCTCTTTTGCCCTCTCTTGGCAACCAGAGTTACCAAGTTTTTGTGCTGTTGAGGCAATTTATGTTTCCATGCTTGCAGTAGACTGGACCCAGGCTACATCTATACTGGTATTAAGCACAGGGTAAGGGCTGGTGCTCAGCAGCATCCTGCACTCGCTCACCTTGCTTCCTCATTAGCAAGCTGCTCAGGCACAGCAGGAGGTGGGTACAGTCATGCATATGGAAACAGAGCTTGGCTTTGATTGGCATGAGGAGGCTTTGGCCTCTTATTTAGTAGCACAGGGGTTTTAGTTATAACACCGTGGTTTACTTTTGTATTTCACACATTTTAAAGTATAATTCATATTTGCAATCAACAGTATGTCCCAATAGTGCATTCTAAAACTATTGGGTTTGGAAGAAAGAAGGAGGAGTTTTGCAAGTTCAGTGTTGTCCTGCTTTGCCAGTTGCCTTCCATAGCAGTAACTTTTTAAACAAGCGTGAGGTATCCATGTATGTTAAGCTGCTTGTGAAGTGGACTGCTTTTAGCTTCCCTTGTGAGTACAAATAGATGATGTGCTGAAATGAGGTTCTCTTGGCCTCAGGTCAGTATTTATTAGATACATAGTGCTTACAGCTTCATTCTGCACCAGCCATCTCATTCCCTCCTGTATGTGTATATGTGTATTTCAGAGTGGTAGGAAAAGTACCCCACCTCTGTGGTTATTTATGTAACTTAGTATGCAATTGTTTATCACCAGATGTACTCACTGGCTAACAGTTGTCGTTGGGGATGTCACAGCTCCTATGTATGCATATCAAAATTAGACGTGCGTAATGTCTGCTTTGATAGTTTCCTCTCTCTTAACCCAAGGGAGACATTGATACTTAAAAGAAAAAAAAAGATGGAAAGCAAAAATAAATTGTTTTTCTTACTGTACGGTTCTTAATGACTGTACAGAATATGCAGATACCTATTTTGATTGGCTGCAGTAGTCCATCTGTTCTGACAGTATCTCATGTTAGATTATCCAAGACGTTTGCCAGCATCTGAGTATCTAGCTTTGCTCTAAATCTCTTCAAGAAGCAGAAAGAGACTACCTTTTCATAAGAGCAAGAGAAATCTACACAAAGCAAACTAAATAGGCTTCAAGCTGCTAAGAAACTTCTTATGTGCCTAGGGAAAAGAAGTAAACAATCTTTTTGTGTGTGCTTCTTTCACTGCAGTCTTTTCAGAGCCCTCTTTTCCTTATCCTAAATGCCTCTTGTGCCTGCCTAGAATAAGGATAATTAAATGTCTTTTAAGTGGTGTTTAAAGCTGCATGATAAGAATACCTATCCTCCTGATCCAGTCCTGTTGAGTATGCTACTACATTGCTTCTGAGAGTAGCATTAAGGCGGAGATTTGAAATAACCAGTTTTCCCTGCAGTGACATATGCAGTATCCTTACAAGCATCTCCAGCAGCATGGCTGCCTCTTGTGTTTGCTATTTATAAAGTAGTGCTGCTGAATTGGGAAGCAAGAGCTTTATGCAGGCTGATTTTAAAGCTGTTCTCTGATTCTTGATTTTAAAAGGTACCAACACAAATGTAAATTTAAAAGAACCTTAGGATTCTTTCTGCTGACCCAGGGGTAACTGTATCTTGAATTAAAGCTTTTTTTTTTTTTTTCTTTGCATTGTCCTCAGTTTGTTTATGCCACTATGTGATTATTACATCATTAAATAAAGTCCAGTTATTTTTGGTTTTCTGATGGTGCCGAGGTTGGGACAATGATAAGTACTGGAGATTTTTCTTTATGATAAATAGAAAGCAATCCTGTGGAGAAATGTTATTTAATGGCAGTGTTTTTTTTATCAATGTTGCTAGAGCAGACACGTTATTTGTGGTAAAACAATGCACATTTCAGTGTGTTAGCCTCTTTGTAGAAGAATGGCATGGATAGCTCTCCCTGTCTGCTGAATAGTTTTTCTGAAGCATAATGCTTTTAAAAGGCAGATCTGATTATTCACATTAGTCTTCAGATTTCCTTCCCCTTTTCTTTATTGCATGAGGCATTAGCATGGAAGCATACTTCACATTTCTTAGGCTTTTGTCTGTTCCTGCTGCTTTGCCTCCTGGAAGTCAAACAGTGCTACTTGGTTTCTGACACAACTGATTACTATGGAAATTATTACCGTGTCATAAAGAGAGGATTTCATGTGTCGAATGTGCTGCGCGAACGCAGAAGGTTCCTAGTAATAAAGAAAAAGGGAAGAGAAATGCAGAAAATAGCTGTGCAAAATCCATTGTTGCAGATTCTTCTTCCGAAGGCACAGCCTTCAAGAGATTGGGGAGCAAGCAGATTGCTGGCTTTTTTTTTTCTTTTTTTTTTTTTAAATCACTATGAAGATAAATGTGAATTTGTGCTTCAAGGAATAATTATTTTATTTTGACTCCAGCAGTTGGCACTGGCCAAAGTGATTTCCGAGGGCACTCGATGTATGTCCCAGATCACAGTTCCACGCTAGGGCGACTAGACAGCTATCGCTCTGCTATGCAGCGGTCTGAAACCAAGGATACCAGCTGCCAAACTGAAGAAGTTAAAGTTGTGCCTCCTTCAATGAGAAGAATACGAGCACAGAAAGGACAAGGCATTGCAGCTCAGATGTCTCAGTTCTCCAGCTCATCTGGAAATATGTCTGTGATGAGTGATTCTGCTGCAGTTATATTTGCTTCTCGCCAGAATAGTGACATAGGTTTTCACAGCTTGCCTCGGGCTGGTGCAAGAGTGTCTCTGCAGTCCTTAGAACAGACCCAAAGCATCTCCAGACAGACAGAAGACATTGCTGGCGCTTTGCCCCACCAGATAAGTAAACTGCAAATGGATGATGATGTTGTGCATCTGAGAAATAATGCCACAACAGGAACTCTTTCAAGGCCAAAGTCTCAAGAGGTAAGAAGTTATGACAGTGAAAAGTCTACTAGCCCAGCATGTGTAGTCTCTCCTCATGCCACCTACTCAACAAGCGTCATACCCAATGCAACACTGTCATCCTCCTCAGAAGTTATTGCTATTCACACTGCCCAGAGCACTGGATCACTGGATAACAAAATTAGCAGTTCTGCCATGTACGCAAAGCCAAGAGACAATCCTGTTGCCAACAGTGCAGTAAGTGGGAAAGAAGATCACCATTCTTCAAGTGGTAACTGGAGTGAGAGTAGCTCCACACGTCACTCACAGACTTCAGATACTATCCCATCTAATACTGTGATGTTTCTTTCTCTTGGTGACTCTGCTGTCTCTCTCAACACTCCTGGAAATGTAGAGGCTGGTTCTCAGAGTGTGAACTACAGCTGTAGAAGCAATCTTGCTTTACCAAACCGGTCCCAGGACAGCGATGGGAGGAGTGAATCTAGCTACTCAGGGGAGCAAATGCAAGGTGCAGTGAGCAGCACAGAGCACTGGCTATACAAGTCTGCAGAAAATAGTGAGACTGCATCATGCAAGGTAGCTTGTACTACACCAGGCTGTGCTACTCCTGGCAGCAACCTTAGCAGCAGCAGCCTGGAGAGGACATCAGTCAAAGAAGATTCCACTTCTCTGTATTCTGTAGACCATGATGGTTATTACAGCTCTATGAGCATAGACTCTGGACTGAAGTCAGACACGCCATGCTATAGTACTAATGGTTTTGGGAACCCCAGAGACAGTGTGATTAATGTCTTTGAAGCAAAGGAGAAGAAACATCAAGATGACCAGCCAGGCCAAGGTGAAAAATCCCTTGCAAGAAATATCTCTCTAAAAAAGGCAAAGAAGCCGCCTTTACCACCATCTAGAACAGACTCACTCAGAAGGGTACCCAAGAAAAAAGCTCAGTCCAATGGACAGGTACTTGATGAAACCCTCATTGCTACCCTCCAGCATTCTCTTCAGTTGAATCTCAAATGCAAAAATGGCAGCTCCCCTTCCCAGAGCCCCTGCAGTGACTATGAAGATCCCTGGGTGTTGCGCTCTCGCAGCCAAAGCTCAGTCAGTGCAAGCAGCAGCATGATGTCCACTACTGCCCCAAACCTGTACTCCATTTGCACAGTCACTCCCTCTCAGAGTGAAACAAGCAGCATTAAGTCAGAGTATGCTGACCAGTGGGGTTACTACAGTGACTATGCTGCAGTGGCAGATGACCAGATGAAGTCTCCAGTGACCCATTCTGCCAGTACCTCTTCTGCTCTCAGTGATTACAGTATCAGTCACTTCAGTGATGGCTCAAGGGCTTCTATGCCACAAGTGCCCACTGGACTGGCCAAACCAAAGAGCACTTCTCCAGAGAAGTCCCACCGAGTCACATCACCATCCAGTGGGTACTCCAGCCAGTCCAATACACCCACTGCACTTACTCCAGTGCCTGTGTTTCTAAAATCTGCGTCATCAGGAAATGGGAAATCCAAGCTGAAACCTAAAGTGCCTGAAAGGAAATCTTCTCTTCTGTCTTCAGTCTCCGTTTCTTCATCCTCCACTTCTCTTTCTTCAAATACATCTACTGAAGGGAGTGTGAGTGTGAAGAAATTGGACCCCCCGAGCTCTCCTCCAGATTCTGGTGCACCTCCTCCTCCACCTCCTCTTCCAGCACCTCCTCCACATTGCCTTGAGCTCTCTCCTCCCTCTTCCCCTCCTCCTCCTCCAGCAGAAGCCATGGATCTATCACCATTGCCAGCTTCTCCCACGTTTCCCCCCCCTCCACCAGAAGCCGATGTAAATTCTTCCTTTGCTCACAGTGTCCAATGGTTACCACAAGAAGCTTCCATCAGTTCATACTCTTCCCCTGTTCCTCCTCCTCCTATTTTCCCTTTAGTTGTCCCACCACCAGCACCGCCTCTTGATCCCAAACTGACAAAAGGTGCAATGATATGCCCACAGCATTCATTTAAGAAACACGATCAGGAAGATTCTTGCTACAATGCTGTGAAACAGCCATTCAGCAAGCAAGATGCATCAAGACCTGTGATGCCCTTAGTAACTACCAAAGCATTGCAAATGGTGCAGCTGAGGTCTATCAAAAAAGCAACAGAAGGGGACCCATCACCTGAATCTGCTTCTGAAACCATCTCTCAGGAAAAGGGTGTTGTAAATTCATCATCACAGTCTTCCCCAAGGCCATCTCTCTCGCTAAGACTCAGTAACAGCTTAAGTGAAGAGGAGATGAAGATTCATGGCACTTCATTTAAAAATGCACCTCAAACACTGGCTCAGAGTTCTCCTCTGATACTCTTTGACAACATACCCATGCTTGAGAGTGATCAAAAATCTGCGGTTACCAACAAGTCTTTGGAGCCTGATTCCCTAGGGTCAGCTCCAGAAGCCACACCTAAGTCCCCAGTGCGGAGCGAAGACTTCCATTCTGACATGCCACCGCAGGGGTCACCAGGATCTCCAGAGAAGACTCAGGTCGTTTTGCCAAACAAGAAACCACCTCCCATTTCAAAGAAACCCAAACTGTTCCTTGTTGTACCACCTCCACAGTTAGATCTCACAGTGGAGAAAATAGCTGAAGTGAGTGATACTGTCAGATGCACATCAAGCCCGACTAAGAAAGACGCTGTAGTTACACACTGCGAGGAGGCGAGAAATTGCCTTACAGATGGACTCAGCTCCAGCAAGATGGACTCTGGCAGCCTGGTTCCTGAGGGAGGAGCTGCCGGAGTCACCTTCTCTGAAGCAGTGGGAGCTGGTGCCTTTGTGGTACAGCCCGCTGCATCACCAGTTCAAGAGGAGCCCAGGCAAGAGGAGCAATCGGCTTTTGATGAAGGAAGCAGCTCAGGCAGCAGCCAAGACAGCGGCAGTAACACTGAAGGACACCTGTCTCAGGAGAACGAAAGTGGTGAGTCTGCTTTCTCTGACTCTTCTTCCGATGTAACAATAGCTATGTTAAAGAAGGTGGGGAGTGAGGATAGATGTTGTAGCATTCATCTAGTCTTCTGTAGAGAAAAGGAGCTCTTGCAATAGTTAGAGCTAAAAGCCTAAGGGAAGTTACAGAATTAATGCTTGTTCCAATTCCATTCTGACTTCTTGCTATTGCAGACAGGGAAATAAAAAGGATGTTTTATTTAACTGTGCTGGCAATAAATCATCCTATGAAGAAATGGTTAGCTTTGTTAATTTTGTTTGCACTTTAATGCAAATGATAAAAATATTCTTTCAGCACTGTACTCTGCGTGTGTCTGTACAAGCAAAGGCATTTAATGCAGCGCTGTTTCTGAAGCAAAGAGGGGTGGTTTCAAGATTATAAACCTGTTGGTTCCTGGGCAGACTGACAATACTGTTCATTATTTCTGTGTAGCCGAGGTGTTTGAGTCAGAAACAGCAAATAGTTCATTCCTGCCAAGCAATAATTATGGGGAAGAGACGGACGGAGTGGCAACACCAGCGAGACCGAGGACTACTGAGGATCTTTTCGCAGCCATTCACAGGTACTGCAGAAATTGCCCTTTCCATTCTGTCTGGTCATTATTTCTCTCAGAAATTAATTGACATTTTTTTTACTAAAACACCCCATTACATGTCAATGCTTTAACTGAAAGCACGTATTTATCAGCTTTCTACTAAGACTGTAGACGAAAAACGTATGGAAAAAAGCTTGTGTTTTATTGCTTTACAAATGTATTTGGTCTATTCTGAGCTAAAAGCTACCTGATTAAATCCATACAGATTGCATAATGAATATCCTGCCCCTTAAATATCAAGTTACATCTAGTATTTATTGTACTGTTCTCAATCTGCCATATTAACTCTACTGTTGCTTTTTCTGTGTAGCTTTTTGTTTTCATTCTTGTTCTCCATCTCTTTTTACTCTTCGCTGCTTATATGGTGCAGTTTGGGACAGAGGCTCAACGCTAATGCTTCATGGCAAGCGTGGCTGAAACTGGCAAGTAACACAACATGTCAGTCATATGGCAAAACATATGGCAAACGCTGGATTATAGTTTGCCATAATCCAGCCTGAAGTCGGGTGTTTTGTGTCAAACTGGTTCATGAATGAAATGTGCAAAACTGGCTCTTATTAATGTCATTATTCATTTCCCTTAAAACAAAATAGGCAACTCACTTCCTGTGCTATTCTCGTTAGCCTTTAAAAAAAAAAAAAAAAAAGCTACAAAATACAAAATGAAACGTGTGCACCATTTAAACAGTACACACAGAAGACCATTACCGCTCTCTGAAATACTGAGCTTGCATTTAGAGTAGAATCAGTGTAGTGGTAGTGCCATCTTGTGGCTCTGTCTTTAACTTCAAAATCTGGAGAGGCCGTTCTCTTGGTCGCAGAAGTGCTCAGTGGAATCCATATATGTTTAGCTGTGTGTCTAGTCAGTTTGCACATATGTGCATGACTTCTGCATCAGGAATAGTGAGGGATGGAAAAAGTCTTTTTGTCAGAACACAGCTGGGATTTAGGAGATGTTACCAAAATTACGTATGTGCAATATTACATAAAGTTATATACGTATAATACTGACCTTCTATAACTTACTGTTATCCCTTAGGATTTGGCCTTGGGAGCTGTTCTAAAAATGGCCTGTTGCAATCATGCTGCATGGCGCTCACTAGGACTGCGACATGTCTGTTTTTAGAATGAAGTGTTCTGGCCAGTGACCTTTTTCGTTATGTATGCAGATAGAGAGTGGATCTGTGTGTGTGTGTGTGCACATACTTGGAATTTCTGATTTTATGGGGAAATGGACAATGGAACTGGATGTGACTTAGTTAAAACTGCTTGACACATTTGTTGTAAAGACCTTGCTTTTGTTGGCTTTAGACTTGAACCACTACCCTTCTTGGTTGAAAAATGTTCCCTCTTTACCTTATTTCTAAAAGGTCTAATTTTGGTAATTGGCACTCCTGAATATGTGCTTTGGAGTAGGACAAGAAATGTAGTTGTATGTACGTCAAAGGTAGGAAGAAAAATCTAAGCTTAAGAAACAGTTTTGTTCAAATACGTGTCCTATCTATGTCTGAAAAGCCACCAAAACCAAATTTGGTTCTTAATTTTAAGTCTGCCATAATTTATATATATGCTGAGAAAAATTGCTTAGGTGTGGATAGCAAACTGACCATTCCGCTCTGCATTCACTGTGTTGTTGAGTTACTTCAAGCCAGAATAACCAAATTTTTCCCTACAGATCTTTGAAATCTTTGAAATTGAGTTTTGCTCTATATTTCTTTGGAATTTAATTTAATTTTTGGCATTAACACAACCTCAGTTCTGGAGGGTTTAAAGATACCTGTAGGCAGCCAGAATCCCACTGAAGGGAAGTCTCTGCCATGTAACACAAGTGTACGTTTACACACAGCCTTACGGAGCATCCAAGCACCAAATCCACTTGCTACCTGTGGTACTGACACCCCGTTAGATCTATGCAATATGCTAATGTTTGCCACTACCAAAATAACAATTCTATCCTTACATTATTTTCTGTTGTCCATTCAGCCTGAGGATGTCAGTATTACATTCTTCTTTCAGAGAGAAAAGTGGTGGCAGTGGTGGCAGCTGAAAATTGCAGCTGTTATAGTTGCCTGTGGGGAGTACCACAAGTGATCTATTTGTGAACTTCACCACGTAGAGAGACAGAATGCTTCCTAAGTCTTGGCAGTTTATGGCAATGACTGTTGCTGCCACCCACTTTGCTGATGGATTCTGTTCCTTTGTTTTGTACTTTTCTCTCAGTAAGCTGCAATGCATAAAGACATTTGAGCTTGCCTTGGCAAAACCTCAAACTCTTTAAGAGAAGGCTTAAGATCACATGGAGTAGAAACTCATTTCACAAGGGGAACAGTCAGCATTGAATATGCTTGATAAAAATTAATATGGCATTATAGCATGATAACCTTGTCTTTGTATCAAGTCTGCTAACTTGCTTTAAACTTTTGGCAAAAAAAGTATGGGTAAAAATAGCATTTATTCAATCTTTTTTAATTTATTCTTGTTTAGTCTACAAAGGAGATAAACATATAAAGATAAGCAGCATTACTACAGATAAGCAGCATTAATACAGATAGGAGGCATGTTATTTTTTCTTTAAGATATTATTTCTAACAATGGAAAAATGTGGCAATAGAACTCCAGTTTCCACTTACTTCCAGTTCTATGATTGTTTCTTAATTTTATTTTTGTTACTTTTGTTTTCATTAAACTAAAACCACTGGGCTCCTTCATTTGGGAAGATAAAATTCAGTCAGGAACTTCACCTCTTCATCATTTAATCAAAAAGTTGCAATGGGAGAGCACCAACAGGACTGCATTTTTTTTCTGTGTATCTTATTTAGAAACTGGAAAGCTCAGTTTTCACTGTTCACGTATGGGTTTATGGATGGATGGTTAGAATCTGCATTGTTTACTTGACCTTATCTGTAGAAATAATGCATTGGAATATCCTTTTGTGAAGGCAGGTGGACTGAACTACACTGCCAGTTCTCCAGGGAACATCAACTGAAACAGCAAAACAGACCAACAACAATAAAAAACAACAACAACAAAAAACCCCACAACAACCCTCCAGAAAAAAAAAAAAAAAATCCCCACAAAAAAGCCCAAGATATTTGATGGCATATTATTAATCAAGAAAAATCACATTGAGGATTATCTTCATAATTAATTAATCTTAGCAGTTTGGTACTGACTCCAAAAAGCCTAATTTGCTAAACAGATTCAGTGTTTAGACATCAGGCTTCTATAGTTCCATTGTTGCAGATGGTTGTAGAAAAAGAATAATAAATGTAGCTTTACCCCCAATACTTGCATTAATAGCAATGCAGTTTTGGTGGTGTTCTTCCTCATATTTTAGATTTGATTACTTTTCCGTTCTCCCGCTCTCGTCTGTAGCTTAATTCATTGTCATCCCTCTAAGCCGAATTTAATTAGGAGTGGTAAAAAATGTCATGTTTTTGTTTTGTTTTTTCTTGTTTGTTTTTCAAACTTAGATCCAAAAGGAAAGTCCTTGGCCGTAAAGATTCTGAGGACGATCGTACCCGCAACCATTCTCCTTCACCCCCCGTAACACCCACTGGTGCTTCCCCAACCTTATCTACCCTCAAACAGGCAGGATCTATTCAGAGAAGCGTTCGCAAGAGCAGCACCAGCAATGACAACTTCAAAGCCCTGCTGCTGAAGAAGGGGAGTCGCTGTGACACCAGTTCCCGCATGTCAGCAGCAGAGATGTTGAAGCACACGGATCCGCGGTTCCACCGAGCCAAGGTGGATGCCTCTTCTGACCTCCCCGACAGCCCTGCCAGCTGCTCGCCCAGCAAGAGCAAACGGGCCCAAGAGGAGTGGGCCAAGAGTGAAGGCCTGATGCCGAGGAGCATGTCCCTCTCCAGCACCAGGTACGGCCGATCACGAACACCACCCTCTGCTGCCAGCAGCAAGTACAATGTTCGCAACCGCATCCAGAGCAGCCCCATGACTGTGATTAGCGAAGGAGATGGGGAAGCGGTGGAGCAGTCAGACAGCAGGGCCCAAAGGACTTTGGATGAGCAGCAAGAGAGGCAGCTTGATGTATTTAACAGTGATGAAATAGACATGAGTGACTTTTCGTATTCTGAGGAGCCAGACTGCAAGGAGACCTTGGATCCAGCGCATCTGGACTTAATGACTCAGCCGGGTACTTCAAGGAAGTACCTAAGTCCTTCAGCTGAAGAAAGTTAAGAGGCAGTGACAGATGGCATTGGATATTAATCTAGAAAATGACAAAGGACTAGATTCCAGAAGAAAGCCCAGATCAGGACAAGTTTACTTCGCTGAGCATTTACTCCATGAACTGCATGCGTGTGTTTAAATGCTGAAGCAATGATAGTTCTGCATGGTTGGGTGGGGTGGGGAGGACTTGCTTTGAATGAGCGGTCTGTGGCTTAAAGAAATTAACAGCTGAAACTATTGTGTGAAGCCTTAGAAGTCCTCTTGGGGGCGGGAGTAGGGGAGTTTTCTCAGAGCCTGTAGGGGTGTGAAGTTTTTCTTTTTCTTGAGACTGCAATTGTGCAAGTAAAATTTAAAAATAAGCCTACTAAAGAGGAAGAGGAAGGCTTCTGTGGTACAAGCTGGACATTTGCTTGAAAAGCATTGTTAGTGCAGTGTAGTGCATTTGTTAAGCAGAGAGGTAGGATGAGGATCCTGTGGAAGGTAGTAGGGTTGTTGCTGGGGCCACGTGGCTTCTTATCCAGGTACGCCCCAGCATTAGATGAAGTGTGTCCTGCTAATGCCAGTAGGTCACCAGGTTATGAATTGGTCCAGGGTACTTTGTTTTTTCCTGAGGGAAAATGGAACACAAGTTGACATAGACAAGGGAGCCAAGTTTTCTAACTCAGTACTGGCTGCTATGCAGCCACACACATACGCTTGGGGAAACACTCATTTCCAAGTGAACTGCTTCCTTGGCCAGAGTATTCCCTTAGAGAACTGGAACAACAGGATATGAGCAGAGGATGTGAGCAGACAAGGGAAGTGGGAGAGGAATTAAGCAGTATACTGCCGGAGTTTGGAACGGTTAAGCTTCTGAATTCTAAAATAGAATTTGAGAACTTGCACTACAGATCTGTAGGTGAAGCCTATCTTTCAAAATTGAAACTTGGGAATTACGTTTTGCCAGAAGTCTTTCTTCCATTTGTCAAAATGGAAGAGCTATTACTTTTCATCACTTGAAATATGGATACTTGCTAACTTTTGGTTACCAAAGAATAAGTTACAGTTACTTTCCTTTTTGATTTGCCTGCAGTATTTCCTTTCTTTTTTTAACTTTAATAATTTAGTGAAGTTCGTTTTTATTGTATATTTTACAGATAATAAAAGCATTTAACGGTTTTCCAATTGTAAAGAAGACCATTAATTGAAACTAAAATATTGGCTGGAGTTTTTGGTTCTTAGTAGGAGTTAAGGTTTTAATTTGTAAGAAGAATTTTGCATCATTTGATGGCGTGAGCAGTTTTGTATTGTTTGTAAATATTGAAAGTTGTTAAAATATCTTTTGATCTCCCTACTGTAGAATTTATACATTTTTAGATTGCTTTTAAAAAGAAAAAGCACTCTTTGTAGATTATTTATTTTAGAGAAATATGCTTGTAATCTCTTTCTTCATTCCTTTACTTGTTAGTAATGTAAATTTCAGGGGCCTTTGTTTAACACTTCCCTTCTCAAGAGGGGAATAGTGATGAAAATGCTGTGACTTTGCTTCAATAAAGAAGGCGGCTGCCAGTTGCCATATTGTCTTTTGAGTTGATTAAAATCTCCTTCAAAAGATGTGTCCAGAGGTGTATGGCAACACATTGAATGCCACAGACCATGCATCCAACTACTAATCTACAGTTTTCATTGCAAAAGTTACTAATTACACTTAGAAGCATAACTAAAGCATACTTACGTATCCATCCCATTTTGGCATCTCAATGCTGAGACTAAAAAACCTGAAATAATAAGCTTTTTCCAGTATCATTTGTGAGAGTATCTACTACTTCTTACTTGCAACCTGTCCCAGAAAACTAAAACTGTTGGAGAACCAGATTATAAGCAGAGTGAGAGAGAAGTGAAAAGTGAATCTGGTGGCACAGCAAGGGTGGGACTAACTGGTGCACAGCAAACTTTCTACCATTCGTACATGCTATTGGAACCATTGGATTTTTGGAGCTAAATAAAAACCTATCTGGGCAAAATAGAGTATTTCAGCTATTATTAATAATCTGAATTAGATACAACTGCTAGATGTCTACTGACATCCTTTAGTGTTTCTCTCAGAGCTGTGATCACATTAAACAGCACAGGAGAGTATATGGAGCACTTCTAACAGCAGGTACTTCCCTTCTCAAAGCTGTGTGTGCTTGTTGTCTTGTCTTCATACCTCCATCCCAGCAGGAAAGTACTCAGACTTTGCTTTGTTGTTTGCAATTAGGGAAATAGTCTAAGTGCAAACATGAAGTATTGGAGAAAGCTGTGATTTCTGTTGTCTGCAACTTCTGCAATGCTTTCAAAAAAAAATTTTTTTGAAGTGCCCCTGGGAAGGAGCCTGGCCTATTTGTTTGCCTGATGCTGGCCATTTGATGCTGTCATAAGTTCTTGTAGGTGAAATGGGAAACTTTGGAAAGTCGTGGCTTACATGTAGATGCAGGTAGGTGGGATTAAAGTGAAAGGTAGCATGAGCTGAATTTCTTCTCCTACTGCAGCTTGCCTCAGTGCTCATGTAAAGCTCACATTTGGTGTGTGTTTGATCGGAGGCTCAGGCTCTGACTAGTGTGCAGAAGGCAGTGTTTATGTAACCCTACTGATGTTGCTACAGGACTATATTTAACACAGTATAGGACGTAAAATGTGTACGGTGCACTAAAATATATTTACTAGTGCTTATAATTATATTCATGTAGGCAACTGGTGTAACTTTTATATGCAGGTGTCACCACATCAGCTATCCTTTGCTGCCAGTTCAGAATTGGCAGTTCAGATTTTTTCAGCTCCTGTGTTTGCTGCTAAACTCAGCCCCAGAGCACAGCAGCTTTAGGCTGTGCTTACGGAACTGGCAGCAACTCTGGCATGTATATAATTATGGTAATGAAAATGTATTTTATGTCATACGTCCAACTTCAGAGTTAATTTCTTCTATTTTAGTCTTCGTGTATAGGAAGGATTTGCAATTGTGGTGATCCTGCTGGTCAACAAGTATAGATTAAGTTTGGGAAACCTCTGCTAAAGACATCCAGAGCCCTTGGAGTGGAGAAAGAATAAGGAAACTTCTGCCATGCTAAAGAAGTCTGGTATCATCCTGATGAATGATCATACTATTACCAGGCTTGTTCATAGTTTACAGTTGGTTTACACTTTTCCTCTAAAATAAGAATTGTTGTTGAAGCTAGATCTGAGATTAATATGTTTTTCCTTTTATTGTGAATGGTTATTTCACCATTTTCCTATATCTTGCTTCCCTTGACTATGTTCAAAGTTTATTCTTACTCATGTCAAATGTATGCAGCCCAAACTCCACTTAGTATTTGAGCCCTTAAATTATTAAAAGGTATTACATCCATAAGGCTGTGTGGTATTTACAAGTTTTCACTGTATATACAGTGAAGAGAGGGGAATTGATTAATTGAAATGAAGGATGGTTGCATGAGGAGCAATAGCTTGGTGAGAGGAGGCTTGGAAGGCTACTGGAAACCAGTGAAAAGAATTCAGAAAGAGGTGGATTTGATGAAGAGGTGGTTTTGAGGAACTAGGATGCTGGTTCATGTGTAAGGCTGTTGGAAAGAAGGCAGAGAATAATGGTAGAAAAGGTGAAGTAGGGAGATTTCTGAGAAGTGCAGTGAATGCAAGGAGTGATGGTGAGATATTAGGCAGACAGGCTAATGCAGATATGAAGTTTCAGGTAGTGCAGAAGAGATAAAAGGCCAAATTAACATTTGGATAGTTGCAGTGAGGGGAAAGAAAAAATGTAGCCTTAAGTCTTTATTCACAATACAAAGGGCATGGAAGGCAAAGTCAGTCAAACATGGATAAGCGTTTCAGAAAAGGAAAAGGCAAAGTTGTATGAGCTTAGAGAAGTAAGAGGCTAACGTGAGGAAACATCAGACAATACTGGGCAGGCAGCTGCAGGCTTGAGCTCAACAGTTGAGAGTGTACAAGAGGGAAAGAAAATGGGATCAGAGAGGCTAGTGCTCACATTTTTGTCTACCAACATGCCCATGTTCATGGTTCCCACAGACTGGCTGCGGTCTCCAGAATCACTGCACTCCAGTACAGTTGTTAAACATTATCAGTCACTTCCTGGACTGAAGAGAGATCATTTGTGCACGGGAATAAATGCCTTCGTAGTATTGCAAACTAATATATCTTGTCAGGTATTCTTCAGATCCCACAGAGTTCTGGAAAAGCCATTTTTAGCAGCAGTCACTGCTCCAACCAAACATTTGCTACAGTGCATTAAGTGGTTCAAAATGATGTATTTGCCTGCTTCTATAAGAGAAGATTAAAAGGATGGATTTCTCCAACAATAAAGTGTTAAAAAAATTGGAGTGGTAATGAGGAATTTTTTTACCTGTTTTATTTAAATGAACTTCAGTACTCTTAAGGGCATACGTAAGTACTCACAAAGACATACATTATGTTATCTTTCTGGTTTTCTCTGTTATACTTTATTTGCTGAATCAATTTCAGAAGTTACTTCTTTCATGACTAAGTTGAAATCAATGTGCATTGAAGACAGTAAGATACAGAGATGCTTAATAAAGAAGTGCAATGTCGTGTGCTTCTCTGAGAGATGGGATAAGTGCCTTAGAAGTGCCTCAGCAGCAGAATGAGTACACTTTGCATTGCCAGTGTAGCTCTTTGCAGTTAGTTGATTTCACATGAGTCATCAGCCTTTTAAGAGCCAGTCAGTTCTTCTCCCAACAACGCTAATGCAAAGTGCCATTGATTTTGAGTAGGAAATTGCCTGTTCATGATGAATCCAAATGTATGCATATATGCGTGTAGTATGGGAGTATATACTGAAGAAAGAAAGCCCAGTCCCAACACACAATAGTTTCTTCTGTCTGTAGTGCAATGCTCTGTTTGTGCACCAGGTGGTATAAAAACAAACACTAACTACTGGAGGAACAAAAAAGTGAAAATCTCTGAGGAAAGGCAGGCTGCCGAAGCTTCTGCATGTTCACTATGGCTTCAATAAATCATGAATAAATTATTTGGAAAAACAAAACAAACGTTCTTTTCCATAGATATATGAATTTACAACAGCCTTCAGATAAGTTCTGGCAATGAACGAGAGAACAAAATGCCTCATCTGTCACCTGAAGAAGAACGCTTCCATTGTAGCAGTACTGAAGTGGTTGAACTCTCATATTCTTGGAAAACTAACACCTTTGTTCAGTCAGATATTATCAACCCAGTCGAATATGCTTTGTAATCTCCTGAAGGCAGGGATTTTTGTGCCCATTTCTCTACAGCTCAGTGTGAGAAGAGTGTTAGAAACATAGCTACTAATTGCCTTTGGAACAAGCAAGTTGATTTTGGGGCCCGTTTAAACTTGGTGATAGAGCCGTAAAGCAACAGGTGTGGTTCACTGTCGGTGTGCAACAGCATCAGCTGAGAATCAGCTCTACTTTGATAGTATTGTTTTAGTCCACTTACTGATGCAGCTTTTGGTGAAATGTTCTGACAGAAGTGAAGACTGTGGGACATGAAGAGAAGTTGGTAAGCTATTTTTTCAGATTAAAAAATCACCAGCATTACTTTGTATCTAGACTGTTCTTTTTGGAAGTCCCAGGCATCAAGAAGAAAGAAAGCTTGTGAGAAGGTAACAAATTAATTATTGAATTCACAGGATGAATTTTCTTATGTGATGTGTCAACTTCTGTAGAGCCAGGCTGGATTTTGGGAACAAAGAAACTCAAAATTACTTTCTGTGCTTCTGGCTAAGAATCAATCCATTTAATGTGCGTGGTTGGAGGATAATGACTTCTGCTGTATTACGAGCTTATATCAGCCTTGTTTTCATACAAAATTGACAGAATACTGCAAAGACGGATGAAGGGTAGAACTGCACCAGGATCGATGGGGGAATCATCTGTATTTTTATCCCTGCAGAAGACCAGATAAATTAAAACAGCTCAACGGCACGCAGAAACTAGCAGATAAGCTAAAGAGTATGGAGTTCAAGTAGGCTTCTATCTTGGTGGCATCTTCATAGGTTCCACTGACTCTTTTAATTCTCTACAAGGGGCAGTAAAGCAAAGAAATCTGATATAGGTTCATTGTCTTGCCATAATTCTGAGAATAACAAAGTACAAATACCTGTTTTTCTGTACCTTTGTATCTTGTTGGATACTCTGCTGTATCACACAGTGCATGCTACAATAATATGCTCACAATATTTGTGGAGTCTTTCCTCTCTGCAGATTTTTTACTACCTTCAAGAGATGACCTAATATTAAGTCTTGCCCTTAGTGGCGTCACTACTAACTCCCCTTTTCTACTTCAGTGAAACTTTTTTTTTTTTTTTAAATTAGCTAATTCATACAGATTTCACAGGGAGAGGCATAAAAAGGTGGAAAAACCAGTAAGAGAAGGAAGGACTGATCTCACATGCAACAATCATTACGTTAGAATAATTTCCTGAAGAAACCTTCCTTACTAAACAACACAATCTTTTTCTTCAGTTATATGGGAGACTCCTAGCACTGGGACTGGTTTGAGTATTCCTGAAAGATTGGTACTGGTCCTGACTGTTTAGGTTTTGGGAAGCCTGTTAATGGGCAGAGCACTCTGAGGACCTAACAAAAAGATCTGAAAAGAACCTATGAAGATGCCACTAAGATAGAAGCCTACTTGTACTCCATACTCTTTAGCTGATCTGATAGAGTTTCTGTGTGCCGTTGAGCTGTTTTAACTTATCTGGTCTTCTGCAGGGATAAAAATACGGATGATTCCCCCATCGATCCTGGTGCAGTTCTACCCTTCATCCATCTTTGCAGTATTCTGTCAATTTTGTATGAAAACAAGGCTGATATAACTCGTAATACAGCAGAAGTGATTCTGATCTGAAATAAGGTGCTTATTTCAGAGATTCTGAAGACTAGAAAAAGTTAAACATACACACAGTTGGGCATGAAAAAAGAGCACAGCTGCCTGTGGGACTGGAAAAGCTAGGCCAGGTGGAAGCATCTAACCAGTTCTCAAGACCAGCACTAGGATCTAATTGAAACTAGTCAAGAACATTTTTGGCTGTATAATGATTGTTTAAAAGCTGCTTTAATTTCTGATAAGGTCACATGTGAAACCTTTAATATCTACAGTTATCGTTGATGTGAGCTTTGAAAAGCTCTTAGAAGGTAGTATGTATTTGTGTAGCAACTTCTGCCTTCCTCACCATTTCTACTCGCCTGCTGCCTTCCCCACTCTCTGGATATTTCTCAGCTGTGTTATTTCCCACCTAGCGATCATGTTGGCACAGCTATCAGACACATCCAACAATCAGCACGCACCCTGCTCCCTTCTTGCTGCCTGGACTGCCTTGTGACATCTCCAGCCAGTCCCTCCTTGGGGTACCTGTGAGCCACAGCTGGCTACCAGCATGGACACTCCTAGAGAAAGGTGTAAAGCAGGAGAATGTAGGTGCAAGCTCTGCAGGTGTCTGATGGCAGCAGGGGAGGAGGATCAGGAAGTAAGCTTAAAACAAGGGGGAAGCACTTGTACCACTGAGGGCATTTGACCAGGTCTCGGTGAACACAAGGTGCCAGTGACTGCTTGGTTCTCAGCAGTTGTTTCACTGCTCGAGGACACAGAGCCTCTTGGCCAGCTCTCACAAACCTGGGATGATCCCAGTGGAAGCTGCACAAGCGGATTAATGTGATTAACTCAGCGAGTGTGCGTGTGGGGGAGGGTGAAAATGGCAGCTGCCAGCCCTGTGCCACCATTGCCACCTGCTGCCATCACCTTCAGCTGCTACTGCCTGAGTCAGGTGCCTGCACAAGGGGTGGCCCTGTCTCTAAAATCTCTTCAGATTTTGCATTTAAAATAAGTTATAAGTAAACTAGATAAGGAATAATAGGTCAGAAAAGGAGCCTTCTGGCTTCCAGGCTGCCCTGCAAAGCATAAAATGCAGTATCAAGCAGTACCGCTTCCATTGTGCTGAAGTTTACACCAGGTCAAATTTTTAGGAAAAAGAAGAGGTGCTCACTCAAGTCCTGTTTCATAAAGGCCACGACCACTGGCACACAGATCTAGATGTTGTCAGCATGTTAACTTGCTACTTTCCTAATAAAAATATATTCTAATGGTCTTGATTGTTGGGAAAAAAAAAAATTAATAATAGAGATCTCACATTTAAAGAAAACCCCCAGGACTTACTAGAAAGCATCTGCTTTGTTCACAGAACAAGCAAAGAATGCTGAAGTGAGTTTCCCTCTAATTCTACACCTGCAAACAAACGTGCAGTGCTGGGAGTGGCTGGGCAAGTTCGTTAGGTGCTGATGGAAGATCTGATTCACCTGCTCTGAGAGCTGCTGGGGGCAGCCTGTGAACTTTCCTGGCTTCTTCTCCCCTTTCACAATGCAGGAGGTGTGGCCAAGGTACCCCCATGCATTTTGGTATGGGAAAGATGAGGGCTGACCCAGTATGAGCAGGAACCTCTGCATTGTTTGGTCCCTCTCAGAGGTGCCAAGAGGGATAAATGTGAGCTGTTGTCTTGGGCTTTCCTGAGTCTGGAATCTTTGCAATCGCATGGAGTTGACTGGCAGCATCCTCCCCACAGCAGGCAGCAGAGTGATACCAGGCTTAGGACAGAGCAAGCCTTTGTCTTCCTGTGACTGGATAGTCTTGGAACCTGTGATCTGAAAGTGAGAGGTACTGTATTCCATTATATGTCATGCTAGCAGGGAATAGAGGGAGCTTGGAAGACTTTATTTATTCCAGGTGACGTTTAGCGGGGTGTTGGAGATACTGCAACTCTTAAAATGATATGCACTAGATAAACACTGAGAAGAAAAATCAATTTAATGTAACGTTTTCTCTAGGGGTGTCAGTATTTCTGCAGTTCTGATGTACTGATGTGGTTACTTTGCACGTGTGTGAACCAGCTTTCCTAGCACCAATTATGGCTGCTTAAAAGAAGTGTGCAGATCCCTGGTATCTCTAGTCCACAAGCTGGAAATTGCGGGTACAGAATCAGAGTGTTTATAAACTTTCTTATTCTTCTGCAATGTGGTAGAGAAACAACCTTGTTTCATGAGACCTCAAGCTATGTGGGTGTGGGTAGGGAATGAAATGGTGATACGTAGCTCTCAAAGCAGGTAATCCCAGAACAAATCTCAGGAGTCTTAAAGGGGGAAAAAAAAAAATACAATGAAATACAGAGGCAAGCTGTAACAACTCTGAAATTCTTCATGAGCATCAGACTCATAGTAAAGAGTAAGAGAAATGATTAATTGTTTCTAATTTCCCATCATTCCTCTTTAAACAAGTACTCCTTGGAGATATCAAGCCATTTTATATGGATTTCTTTTTTTTTCCTTTTTTTTTTTTTTTTTTCCCTTTAAAAAGTAAACAGGAGGAGATTGGGAAAAGAAGGATGATTACACTTCAAGTGGAATTAATTCCTAGGCTTAAGGAAAATCAGGGTTTAAAACCAAAGAATAAAAGCACTATAACAAAAGGAGTTTATACTCACATTACCAGAAAATCTCAGAGACTTGCTGCCTTCTGGGTGGGTGTAAGCTGCAGCACCAGGGCTGCTAAGGGGGAAAGATACAGCACAAAGTAGTTTTCATCAAGTTGACTTTTATGTCTAAAAGACAAATGTACATTCTGTGTGAATGAACTTGAGGCCCCAGTGATTTAGGAGGGTATTGTCAACTGTGTGTTTTCTAACCTGGAAGAAAAAGACCAAAGACAGATATTGCAGTGCTGAAGCACGTTCTGTATTTTTAGACACTCTTAAATGATTTGGCATATTGTTGCCTACATAGGTAGTGAAGTGTGTTTGTAGAAATATACTTGAATATTCCTGTTTAGCCTGCAGGAAAAACTGGTTTCATGCAATGTACTTTATGATGAGAAACTCATCATAAATTCCAGATTGTGGGTAGAACATGACATCTGACACTTAGTTTTGATCTCTGTGACTTTGGGTCAGCCCATAGCATTTGTTTCCCTTTCTTCTTTGCCTTTTTTTGTATCTGGCATGAAAGTGAAATAAACCAAATGAGAGAGAAGTGAAGAACAGGAAATAAGGGAGAGAAAAGAAAAGCAAGTTTGTGAGAGGTATATTTCTGGATGGGCATTTTCTCTAATTATTTTTTCAAAGTGAGTATGTTCTTTTGTATGTTCTTTAGATGGAGCAGGAATAGTTTTTTTCTGTTTTACGCTCTCTGTGCTTGGACGTCCATTAGAGGAATTCATTTAATTAGCAGTTGACTTAAAAACATGCATTTGGTTATGAAGTACATTCATAAGAGTTCTTCTACTACTAGAATGTTTGTAGATCTGGCTAGTGGAGTTGGTACTGGCGAAAGTGTGCCATTGTGTGTCTTTATTCAGATGTTTTGAGGGCTTAGGAACCCAAGTAAAATCCTTGTCACTGCAGATTAAGCCATTTCTTTTATTATCAGGACCACTGTAGTGTTTTTGAACTGTTACAAAGATACACTGACTTGATGCCGTGTCTTTCTTTTTCATTTTTTTCCACTTCATTAAAACCAGGACTGAATTACTAGTCAAAATATTTGTTACAGATGAGCGTCTGTCCTCAGGGATAGGTGTGTACTGAAATGCTTCTCCCTTTGCACACCAGTGACAATGACTATGTTCTAGATGGAGGGTAGAAAGTGGGTATTTCAGAAGATGAAGCATTGACTGTCTTGTTTTGAAAGCACATTTCACCACTGGCAAGTACAGACAAGCGAGTCATGAGCTAGTTTTCAGCATAGCAATGAACAGGTGCCAGATGCCTTGTCTGTATGTAAGCATGAATCAGTTTCATTGAATACTTCATTTTATGAGCTTCTATTGTGCTCAGGATATTCTATTAACATTAAACTGCCTTATTATTGTAGGAGATGTGGGCTTTATTCTTTCAGTGCATATTTAATAGAACAACTTTGTATAAACTATTGGTGCTCTTTTCCTCTAAATGCATTTTGAGCACAAGGCTTTCATCTGCACATGGTGTGTGCGCATCTCAGCCCACAAAGCAGTGGGCAGTAAGGGACTCTGACAGCTCTCACAGAGAGGTCAAGCATAGAGATTGCCCTCTAAGCCTTTGAAAGCCTTTTTAGTATGAGGATGCCTCTACTATTCCACAGTTTCTTACAACCACTTGTTTATATTTAGTGTGTACGTAATCGCATTGCTGGCTGTTGGCGTTGTCTTACTAAAAAACTGAAGCAGTGTTACCTTGCATGTCACAAGTGAGCCCACAGCTCAGCAGGCCACATGTGTATTAGCAGGTTTTGATTTTTTAATAAGTTCTAATCTTCACAGATTTAAACAAACAAACAAAAAAAAAATTACAAGCACCTTGCGGTTACAGAGCGCAGGCTTACAGTGATCTATGTATGTATGTGAAAATTCATGGTGTATGGTATTCAAAGAGTCATTTATTTTCTTATAAAACTTAGAAACAATGAACAGACCTTATTTTTACACGGCCTTAAGTTGTAGGAGCAGGGAAGGGCCCAGGGAAGACATCTAAGCATTCCTTACCCCAACTAGCATCCTGCACTGCCGTCAGATGATAGTTCGATTTCTTACTATGACCAGAGATGATGCTCCCAGTGCTTCACTGCTCTTTTAGACTGTAGTTTGCTTTTAGAATTTTTTCTTGCAGCTTAATCTTTCTGGCACCAGTCCAGACTGCTGTAGGCATGAAGTACGAAGGGTCGTTTTGTTCTGCTTGCAGTTATTTTTTTCTGTATTTGAAAGTTTAATGCTTCAGTCATCTCATCTAATGCTGAAACACCAATGACTCATTTTTAGATGGTGTGCTGTAAGCCTTCCACTTTCTGATTAGCAGAGCTGAGCATGAGTTCCTTTTGGACTATGAGCTATGTTTGCTACAGAGGACACGATCAAGCAGTAGCAATGACAGTGTCACTATGGTTACTGCTGAGTGTGTCATGAGCTGATATGATCAGTGACAGTTGCTACACTATGGAGAGTAATTTATCAACTGGACCTTTGATTTGCAGTGGAGATGTAAGAATAAGATGCTGGGTAGGTTAAAACTCTCTAGGGACAATTAACATGCAAGACCAGATAAAATGGTTTTGGAATGAGGTCCAAGACAATAATTATAGACGAAATTAAAAGTAGTCTATTAGAAAAAGGAGCTGAAGTAATGGGATATATATTACTAATTTGGACATGAGCAATTATCTGTTCTTAATCTCTCTATAGTAATGCAAACAAACAACTTTTCTAATGCAGGATTTGAGTTATTCAATAAATACTGTGTGCAAGATGACCACTCAGTGTTTCTTGGATGGAATAGCAATTCTTGGTTAAAACTAGAACATCAGTTTTGACCACTGGGAATATCGCTTAAGAATTTACATGACTTGTAATGAAGATAACAGGAGAGCAGCTTAGAATATTGAGCCCAGGGTAGCTTTCAGGCACTAGAACAGCAAGGATAAGCTGCTGAAGAACAGTGTAAATAATTTCAGAACATAGCAGATATTTTAAGGCAAAATATGTTACATCTGAAACATTGGAGGCTGAATTTTATCAGTCAACAAGAGCATCTGTCAGTGTAATGAAAGTGCTGTTCTGTAAGAAGGAATTAAAGATATGTCACTCTTTAAAAGCAAGGATGTGCAAGCCCTCTTGGGAACCACACGCACCAACACATCTAAATGGTATTTACTTCTCTCTAGTGGCTAAGTGACTGCAATGCTGTTTTGAAATACCAACCAGATTTTTTTCTCTGTGCATTTGATTTTTTTCCCCCTAACTCTTTAACACATGGTACCTAAAAGGTCACAGAATTTATTGTTTTAATCTGTACATTGGAAAATAAGTCAAGCCAGTAGCCTAGAACTTTAGGATTTTGTAGGCCTTGTCTTGTAGCAAGCCTGTGTGTTTGCATGTGATGGTGCTGGAGTTTTCTTCATCCAGAATGATGTGGTCTTCTCCGGTTGCTCTCACTGTTCAGCAGTGTTAGGAGCCAGCCTTCAGGAAAGGTGCATGGTTGTACTTTTTGGGACAATTGGAACACTTCCTTAGAGTTCATTTGCATTCCTGAGTGCTGCAATCGATTGTTCCGGAGCACTGAAGAATGATGTGATGTTAAGACATGCTGACTAAATAAAGCAACTTTTCAGGAACTCAATGAAAAATAAACACACAAAGTAGAAAAAGCCAAACTGGCATAGATTCACGCTAAAAGCCCTTTTTGCAACTGGTAAATCTGTAGTATAATTTATCATAGAGTCATCTAGACTGGAGAAGATCTTCAAGATCATCAAGTCCAGCCATCAGTGTTGTTACATTTCTTTGAGATTGCAGATGGGCAGATTCTCATCCATCTGTAAATCTAATCCTCATACAACACACTCTATTCTCTGATTTCTTCATTATCAGTCTAGAACTGATGTGGTGTTTAGCCTTGCTACAGGTGGAAGATGCTCTTCACCTTGTTCTAGAACACTCTAATTCCTTGTTTCTTTAAGTTTGCTCTGTCACAGTTCACTGGTTTTGCCTCGTTTGGATTATTTGTGCTAATTTTAAAGGCCATAGCAGATCTGTATTTGCGCCTTGAGGGGCAGCATGCTTCATCTAAGGTACTTCCGTAGGAAGCTTATTTGATGCTGTTGGATGGCAGTGTGCTCTCTTCATAAGGAGGCACTGGATCTGGAGAGAGCTCAATGTGAGCTTCATCCAGGGCAGTCTTTGTCGTGGCCTCCTCGTAGGATGGAGGCAAGCACATGGACAGGAATGTGGCGTCCGGGAGGAGAGTGGAGTAGTGAAAACTCTGCTCGCTGTTCCAGGGCAGCACAGAAAGGAAATTGGACACATCGTGCTCAGGCAGGGCCTCAGGCAGGTCAATGCTGAAGATCTGCCCTTGTGGGACGGGGCGCTGGCAGCGGCGGTACAGGAAGAGCAGCAGGAATGCCAGGAAGAGCATCATGGTGGCAGGCAAAATGATGCACAGAAATGGCTCTATGTCGTCTTTGGTTGAACTTATCTGTTGTCTACTCTGTAATAAAAGCAAATAGGTAGTGTGTTGGATGCGTGGAGACCTCTTAATTACAGAGGAAAAAAAAACACATTCCCCCAAGGATGACCTAGTAGTTTTGTTCCCGAATTATTTTCTGTCTGCATTAGTGCCACTAACACAGTGTGTTTTGCAGGCTACTGGTTTGCCACATTCTTTCTGCTGATCTATTAAAACAAAATACTTTGACAATTAGAGGCAATATAAATGACAAAGTAGCTAAGAGAGCTGGGTTTCTAGGAAAATCATTTTTTGTGAGTGGGGAAAAATACCAACAGCCTGGAACTGTGTGTATTTTGGTATGTGTTGTTATTACTCTTGGATTAGCTGATACCTCTTCTCTTGTGAGAGGCTGGTTAAGCTTTTAAAACTTGAGACAACACTGAATTGCAGAGGAAAAGGGCTAGTCATCCACTGGATAGTGTCATTTCTGTTTGGAAATCTCGACTGTTAAAGAACAAACATTATAACAGCTGCCCCTTCCATCAGGGTCAACCACCAGCAATACTTGCACTTTGGCTACTTTATCCTTATGAGCCAGTCCCAAATAAAACTTGGCTTGCTGGGACAGCCAGAACAGGGGCTCTTCCTTGAGCCTGTTCTGCCAGCTATCCCAGAATCATTTCCCTTTTTAAAAGTATGGACAAAAGACCTCTGCACCAAGCTTTTGAGTTGTGTTGTAGCATGTCAGAAGTTCTAAGCTATGGGTTTGGTTTTTTTTTTTTTCAGTGACGTGTTTTTTTCTGTTGTATTTGCTTCACTTTTAAAAATTGAATAGATCTTATTTCCAGTCTAAGTCTATCTAGCTCCAGCTTCTGATAACTGGATCTCATTCAGATTTAGTCTAGAGTCTATGAAAACTTTCTCTGCTCATCCTTCAAGAACTGTGGTTGTTCTGGTAGCTACATAAACATGCTGTAACCTATATTCAACTGATTATCTGCCGTACCTTTGTTACCTCTCTATTTCATAGTCATATTATTAAATTATTTGTATATGGTAATGCTTAGGAAAAAGAAAGTAAATCGTAAATTGCTTTTCACTTGTAGCAGCAAAACAGAGCAGATTTCTGCCTTTTGTTTTTCCCTCTGAGTTGTTATGGGTCTGAGGCTAAGCCCATCGAGGTCATTTTAAAATACATAAAAACTATCGTGTATTAGTTATTAAGTTTTTTTTCTCAGCTGTCTTTTAACCACAGAAATGCATACTAAAGAATTATCTCATATTTACTGATCATTTCTTATTAATGAGCTTCTGGCAGTACAAGCTGTTGTCTTACCTCACCATCAAGTGAGCTATAAGAAGTTTAAAGAAAACACTTAGCTATTATTCTAAAGCAGACGTTAAAATATTTAATAAATATGGGAGATTTGCTTTAAAAACTTTGCTGCTGGTTGTTTTTTCTTTACCTTACTTGATTCTTAAAACACTACACACAAGAAGTGAGGAAAAAATTGTTTTAGTTTGTATACTATGATTATTGAGATTCCCTGAGTCTGTAGTGCTAGCAGTACTTTCTTAATGGATATTTGGAAGAGCTGAGCTTTTATGGGATAGCATTTTTTTGCTATCAGTGAAGAGCATGTTTTTCAGGTTTCAGATTTAATTTGTGGGAACAAGCTGTCAATCAGTTTCAAATACTTTTTAAAATATCTGTGTGCTGTTGTGGTTGGCAGTCTTACCTTCTGTCCTAAATAAGTGTTTGACACTTGAGACTAGTAAAAGGTATATTGAGTCCCAGTTCCAGCCAAATGCATCCCCACTATGAATGTGTTTGTTTTTTTTTTCTTTCTCAGGTTGAATATTAGGAAAAAATTATTGTCAGAAGGAGGAATAATATAGGAACAGGCTGCCCAGGGAGGTGGTGGAGGCACCATCCTGGGGGTGTTCAAGAAATGTGTAGATGTGGCACTGAGGAACGTGGGCACGGTGGGGTGGGCTGGTGGCTGGACTAAATGGTCTTAGAAGTATTTTCTAACCTTTATGACTGTATGAATTGCACTGAAAAAAAGTGGAGAATACATAGTGTGGCACACAGATAAGAATGGACTGAGGGACTGGATGTGAATTTACAGATGCTCAGGACCTTAAGCATAAATCACAGTGAGTTACTGTCTGTTGTGATTCAGCCTCCTGCTAAACGTTTTTTCAGTCTGGTTTTACATGGAGATGTGGTTCAAGAAGCTTTCACTGCAGCTGATTAATTGCTTGTAGATGTACCTAAACACAACTAAAGTACTGGGAAAAAACTGAGTGGTGTTGATCCCAGTACTTCTGTTGCAATTTTGTGCCTGTTTCTGAGATGAGTGGCTATGGGGCTACTGAAGAATGTTGTAGAGATCTTGACATAAATTCTTGGAAAAATTCATAGCCATAATACATATACCAAAAACTATAAACTTTTTTTTCTGAAGTTCTAAAGCTAAAAATGAAACAGTGGGCCAGTACGTATGGTGGAAAACAACTGCTGGAACTGGAAAGCAAAATGCCCTAGAAATGAAGCTGCACCTTCAGTGATTAAAAATGCTCTGCCTGTGTTACCAGGGGTAGCTACTGTGGATTTTGTAATTGACAACAGTAAGATTTGGACTTCCAGCATGAGATAAGCTACAAAAACACAAGGAAAGTAAGCCCTCATAATGAGAAGAAGGCAGGAAAGTGTGCAGCAGTAAAAGGGATTAATTTTCTAAAAAGACCTGGTTTTGGTGGTTTTTTTTCTAGAACTGATTTTTAGTTGGATGGTCTGGGCATTGTGGATTACTTCCTGACGCATTAATTCTTTTCACTTACACCCTTATGGGGAGTGAAGCAAAGGGTCAGTTTTCCAAAACGTGGAGAACAGCACAGAAATAGTAAAGCCTTTCATTAGTAATCTGCCTGCTTACATTTTTTTTACTGTGCTGAGCATGTACAGTTGCTGGCTTACAGATTATGTGAACCATATGAGTTAAGATGAGCTCTTACTCATGGCTGTTGGTAAAGGAATGAAATGGAGAGCACAGATGAGTTTTGTGGCATTTCTATAATGAATTAAGTGAGGTTAGACCTGAATGCATGTTTAAACAAACAAAACCTGCTACTTACTTTAGAAGGGAAGGACCTCATAAGGCAAAACACGAGTTTAAAGGAAGCTTTCTTATAAAGATAGAAAAAGTAAAGTTGATTTGACTTCCTTAAATTCCCATCAAAGTGGCTGGTGCTAAAATTCATTGTGTTGCTAATGTTTTGCTTGAGTTCTTATTGAAGTTATGAGTTATTGAAATGATTTTTTTTAGAATAGAGCTTGTGTTCATACTAACATTTTTTTGATAAGGCTCTTGAAATTGAATCAGGAAACAGGTACTTCTGAAATGGTTTCAGTGGATTTGGAACAAAGTCTGCTTTGAAGTCAATAACTGTGGCCCATGCCCAGGTGTTTTTCTATCTTCCACCCTGCTGCTTAAAGCAGATTCATTATTGCTTGTCAAAGCCAAACTCTGACAAACAGGAAAACATTTTGATGTGTTTTTGTGTACATCAACAGTGACGCACAACTTTGAGGTGAGCCTAGATTTACACTGAATTGTTAAATACTTGTTAGAATGTGATTGTGTTGGTGATGTTTGTTTCCCACAGTCAGACAAGACCAGTTTCAAGGTGCAAAGTCATTGCAATTCATATGCCAGCAGTCCCACTGACGAGGTAGACTCTTAAAATCATAGAGTTGGTTTTTAAAGCTGCTTTTCTTCCAGTTTTGGCATCCCCACACACCTACTCTTTTCTTTTATAGCTGTACACTTGATAGCTAAGTAGCACGGCCAGTGTACTTACTAGTGCTACTTGCCATAGCTGTTTACTAGGGGTACATGTGCACATGAAATTAGTTTCCCCTCAGAGAAGTCATCTCTCTACACAAAAGCACACAGAAGCACCAGCAGGCAGGCTGTGTTTTCCACTCTGGCAGCTACTCCTCCCCCCCCTCCCCACTTGCCTGCCTGTGATCCTCTCTCAGAAGTAATCAGCGCACAGCTTAGAGAACAAGAGTTCATAGTGCCTGATACTCACTCTCAACATCTGCAGAAAGGCTTCATGGGACCAGACCCAAAGCGTAAACATGTATTTAAAAGAAAGGAAATCAAGGAATAGAGCAATGCATTGTGCTTTAAAGAAACTTATTTAGCAGCTGCTCCAGCAAAATTTTTCTTCTAATGATTTTTCCTTCACCACAGATGCATTTAAAACCACAACAATACATGCATGCTTTTGCTCTATGTAGTTGAGCATTACTGCTTTGATAGCTCAGTACCCCCACACTGACTCTGTGCTATACACTGAGGCACTGTACAAATGTATACACGCGTGTAAAGTCAAAGGAGGTGCCACAGATGCTGGCAGGTACAGACCTGGAGCTCTGTTTCCAGAAGTGGCCCACCTGGTTCAGTGTTCAGCCAGTCGTAGTTCCCCCTGTCAGCGTGTCCAAATTTCCTCCAGCTGCTGCCCAGGAGCCACCTCATGCTTTCGTCCACCCGCTCTTCTGCCTTCGTGCCTCCACTTTGCTTCACTGCTTGCGGCTGCGTCCCCTCCTCCCAGCCTTGACCCTGCTGGGCTGCTCTCCACTAACAATTGTGTGGAAATTGTGTCCCCCTTCTGAGTCCCGAGCAAAGGGAGAAAACAAATGGAAACCCCCTTGTCAGGAAGCCAAGCAGGCGGATCTCCTCTTCTCTCTTCACTTCCAAGTCAATCTCCCTGGATTTGCTTCAGTGGCCTACATTACCAGTAAAGCTGGCATCAGGTATCAGGGACCCGTGGCTGATAGTGCTCTGATTGGAGGGCTCCCCGCATTAGGATTATTAAAAAGGGAATTTGCATGTGAAGCTGAGACCACATGGTCCTGACTCCATGCAGATAAATAACCGCCTATATTTAGGGATCTAACAAATGCTTTTCCAACAAAATAATAATAAAAAGCTCCTATGCCAAGAGTGAAAGTTCCCTCTCTGATACAGAGTGCTGGAAGAACTAAGGATCTAGGCAGGTTTTTGTTCCCTGTGGCTGGTGCCTACAGTAAACAGTGAGAGCATCTGCTGCATAGAGAGACAAGGACAGAAGGCTAAATGCTATGCTGAATTATTTAGCAGCATGAGAATGCAAATGTTAATGGTAAATCCAGAGACAGAAAGCTGCCAGGGCAGCTTTGGTCACTGTGAGCATACGAACGCTTCCAGTAGTGAGTTGCCAGTGTATTTGACTTGGGGCTTGCTTACTAGCTTCTAGGGTGTGAGTTATTAAGTAGAGGTTGTTTTGAGTGAGAAGCCTTTGCTGTGTTCTTCAAGCGAATAAAATGTCAGGAATGTATATTAACCTCTAATGGGAGCAGTATTTAATCTGAGTGGTTCAGGGTTTAACTCTTACTGAGAAAGAAGTTAGTGGAATCATAAAATTGTCTGAATTAGAATGGACCTTTGAAGTTCCTCTGGTCCAATGCCTCTGCAATAAGCAGGGACACCTACAGCTAGATCAGGGTGCTCAGAGCCCCTCCAGCCTGACCTTGAGTGTCTCCAGGGATGGGGCGTCCACCAGCTCTCTGGGCAACCTATTCCAGTGATTCATTACTCTTATAGTGGAAACTGTCTTTTTCTTTTTTCCTCTGAGCAGAGGGAGGCTGTGGGTAATACCCAATTCAACTGCAGTGTGTCTTGTATGGCATCTCAAGGTCAGTCTGTTTAAGCAAAATTTCTGTTCAGGGCTGATAATACAAAATCAGGGGGTCAAGATTCTTAAGTTGTATTTCTCATTTGGGCTTCTTTCTTCAGTTGTTCTTTTGAGGTCACTGGTCCCAGAAAACTGTAGACCTTGTTCAGAGCAGTCAGGAGCAGCCCAGGTGTGAACTGCTGTGTCCTCTGAGCAGCTGGGTGTCCTGAATCAACAGGTCACACTGAGACAGCCAAATTCCTCTGCGTGGTGTCCCAGGACTCTGTGTGGAAGCAGCGATGACAACTATCCATCCTAAACAACAGTGTTATAATAAATTCCTTTGGGAGACTTGAGGTTTAAATCTGTCATCTCACGTGCAAGCATGAAATGTTCATATACCATCTTAATTAGGGTCTTAATACAACCCCTAAGATTATGAATGCTATTTTTAAAACCTTACTGTAAATTTGCTTTGGGACTACCATGAATAATGAGAAGAGAAAGATGATGTCTGCTTATGGTATCATTGCTCTGTTTGATGAATTTTAGCCAAAATAAGGTGTGCACTTCACAAACTGACTGACCTAACTTACCAAGTGCTGTGAATTCTTGGCCTCTGGAACATCTTCAAGAGTGATTTAACTTTGTAGAGCTGAGGCCAAGTGGAAATTTGGGGAAACATGGTCCTTTGTCATGCAGGTAATTGGAATATACAATGACGGTTGTCTCTTTGGATTTATAATCAGTGGACCTGTTAGGAAGATTACAGAGAGCACTAGAGCCGAAGTCTTTCTGCTGCCAGGGGGTCTGCAGCTTGTGTAATACACTGCATCTGTATAGATCTGCTTGTGCAAAACTGAAGTGCTGCCACTCCATGTTGAAGCCGTGCTAACACATCAGACAGGTTGCAACTCTGTGGATCGCTTGAGACCTATTTCTCACGGAGTTCGTAGTTATCTCCATAGCTTGGGCATGCTTTCCTGTGGAGACTCAGGGGAGGAGCATCCTCTAGTCCAAGCCTCTCAGCCAAGTGTCAGGCTTGATGCTTTGAGATGTGGAAGAGGCAGAACTTTGGAGCTCTTCAGACTTAGCGTGCATCAAACAGTCTTTTTTTTTTTTTTCTTTTCTTCTGCCTTTGTTCTTGGAAGTAATTCATTGACTCATTTTGATTGATCCTGTCAACCTGGAGAAAATAGGGTGGAATGGTAACACCTGAGAGATTACAGTTATTTTTAAAGGTTTGTAAAAGGATGTTGATAATTATCAGTCAGCATTGCTAATACTACTTCTAATGTTCAAGAAGGGAGAGACTTTCTTAGGAAGCCAGTGCAGAAAACGGGCACCTTCCCAACTCTCAGAGTGAAGATCTGGTCATAAATAATTCATATTTCTGATGTGCTGAGACATTAGAGGCAAGGGGTGTAACTCTATACTGTATTGCCGCTGATTATTAATAGGGAGCAGAATATCCATTGTGCCCTAAATCACAGAATGGCTTGGGTTGGAGTGGACCTTAAAGCCCACCCACTCCCAATCACCTGCTGTGGGCAGAGATGCCACCCACCAAATCAGGCTTCCCAGGGCCCTATCCACCCTGGCCTTGAGTGCTTCCAAGGATGGGATGACCACAATCTCCCTGGGCAGCCTGTGCCTCACCACCCTCTGAATAAAGAATTTCTTCCTAATATCTACCCTAGATCTCCTCTTTTAGTTTAAACCCATACCCCTTTTCTTGTAAAATGCTGTGTAAAATACTGGTTCCCCTCCTGCTTCTAAGCTCCATTCAAGTACTGGGAGATCACAATGAAGTCATTGAATCACTCAGGTTGGAAAAGACCTTAAAGATCATAGAATCCAACCACAATCTAACCATACTACCCTAACTCTAACAACACTCTGCTAAACCATGTCCCTGAGCGCCACATCCAAATGGTTTTTAAACACATCCATGGATGGCAACTCAACCACCTCCCTGGGGAGCCTATTGCAGTGCTTAACAACCCTTTCCATAAAGTGTTCCCTGATATCCAACCTAAACTTACCCTGGTGCAACTTAAGGCTATTTCCCCTTGTCCTGTCACCAGTGAGAAGAGAGCAGCTCTGCTCTCTCTGCAATCACTTTTCAGATCTTGGAAGAGAGCAATAAGGTCTCCCCTCAGCCTCCTTTTCCCCAGACTGAACAGCCCCAGTTCCTTCAGTCTCTCCTTTTAGGCGATATTCTCCAAGCCCTTGTTGCCCTTCTTTGGACCTGCTCCACCACCTCGATGCCCTTTCTGTACAGAGGTGCCCAAAACTGAAAACAGTACTCGAGGTGAGGCCTCACCAATGCTGAGAACAGGGACAGGATCTCTCGGGAGTCTTCTCCAAGTTGGACAAGCCCAACTTCTTCAGCCTGTCTTCATAGGAGAGGTGCTCCAGCTCTCTGATCATCTTTGTGGCCCTCCTCTGCACCTGTTCCAACAGCTCCACATCCTTTCTATACTGCAGGCCCCAGGCCTGGATGCGGTACTCCAGATGGGGTATCATGAGGGCAGAGCAAAAGGGAGACAATCACCTCCCTCACCCTGTTGGCCACCTCTCTTTTGATGCAGCCCAGGTTACTGTTGGCCTTCCAGCAAGTACACACTGCCGGCTCTTGTCCAACAGTAGATGGCCTTTGGGGTCTGTGAAGGCACTGTTACTTGTTTTTCCTTAACCCTTTTTTATGACTGGTTGAGTAGCTTTCTTGGAGCTGCAGGTCCCATCTGTGTGGGGCTGAGTTAGACAAGTGTTCGACTTTGTGCCCTGCTGTCAAGGAAAGACTTTCCTTCAGGGAGAAAGAGAAAATGATTCCAATCCATGGACTTCTGAATCCATGTGAAACTTTCTGAATTGAAGTGTGCATTATTTATCAAGGCATCAGATGAAAGGCTTTTGGCAATTTTGCGCTGTTTTCATTTAGGTGAACTGGAACAGTGCTTTGCTTGAAATAACACACATTTTGTTTCACGTAGCACGCACGCTCTGCGATAACACATGTACTGTTTCAGTTTGGAGTTTGCACCCTGAAAATGAATCTGTTCTGAGCCTGAAGATTCCTACTTACAGCTTATGGTGAAAGTGCACAGCCCCCAGCAGCCTGTAAGGTAAAGTTTGCTATAGAAATGAAATATGTGAAGAAAATCTTATATATAGGAAAGTGACAAATCTAAAGACATAGCAAAAGTTTTATTTTTTCAAGTGCGGTTGTTGTTGGTTGGGCTTGTGGGCAAAGCTGCAGTCAGGCTGTGAATCAGGGATGTGACCTTTGTTGCGCAAAGGCAGGTGGGATAGCCTTAAATGGACAAAGCTTTACAAACAAGGCTGGTGGCATACACTGACCTCAAAATTTCCTAAAGGGATGGGGGGAGGGAGGAAGAGAATGAAAAGGGAAAACTTTCCTCATCAGTCAATTGGGAGGAGAAAAGAGGTCCTAGAGAGGTGTCCTTCCTGGGGTGTTCCCTCAAGTGCAGGAGGCACCTCACAACATAATGTGTATCTTGTATGAGGGATGTCTGAATGTTTGGAGGGAAATAAATACAAGTTAAAAATAATTGGTGTGGGAAGGTGCTGAGAACCATTGTTCAGTGTGGATGGCCTTGTATGTAATTGGGTGGCTTTTGAGATGTGTAGTGGTGAAGGCTTGGGTCCAAGATAATGTGGAAGCTAGATTCTACCTGGGGCAGTGGTGTGCTGAGTCAGCTGCTTAGGTAGGTATGTAACTTCAACTGCAAAATGGAAATCTCCTCCTCCTTTGTCCAGGTCTGAATCTCTCAAGGTGTCAGGGTGTGTTATGGAAGAG